TGTGTTTCAGTGTGAAAGCAAAAGCACTTTATTTTTGCCTTCCGGAAGTAGATGCAATTAGGAATCATTGGTTAAGATGTATTTACAACAGAACAGCACAACCCAGATGTTCGAATTTGTGCAACGCATTTTATGGACGACAGTTTTTTGAACCTAGAAGAGTACAAGGCTGGCTGTGCTCAAAGGCTATTTATAAAAAAATAAATTTAAAAAAAAGGGTCAAATCCGACTTTGCTATGACAATCTGGTGCTTCTGAATCAGCGACTGTAAGTATGTTTTGTTATTAGTTTAAGTATTTGCTATTGACTGTTCAAATGCGGAGTTTGTTTCCCTTTTGGGGTAGGGGCGTGTTTGTTTTGGTGATTTCAAATATCAACATTGGCTACCAGAAATCACTTACTCTGCCTTTAACCGCGGCTTGTTACTGCATCATCACTGTGTCTGTCACGCGACTCTGTTGCCCTTTCGGGCTTGAACTGATGGTAAAACTAACGACATTATTAACTGTCTTAATATTTACTTTGAAAGCTGACGCTCGCGATTATGGTAAGGGGCGTTACATTTCCGACGCGTGCTTGTGGTGTTCGGCCAATCACAATGCACTGGGTCAGCTGGCCAATCAGAGCAGACTGCGCTTGTCAAAGGATGGGGCTTTGTTGAAAACGACGTGTTTGAGAGAAGCGGGGCATAGAGGACCTACAATAATGTACAGTATTTGAAAAATAATGTGTTTTTTGAACATTAAAGCATGTCAACATATTCTGTTATACCAAATACACAAAATAACGATCTTTAAAATAGCATCATATGACCCCTTTAAGAGTGAGGAGTTCGGGAGGAGGAGGGATGCCAGAAAACTGTCGTGGGACAGAGGTAAGTTGGCTGTATATATATACATATTGTGCTAGTTAAGATGATTAACTAAATGAGCTCCACCTGTGCCATTTTATCATGACCTGGAGGCAAAAGCCAGTGTGGGACAAGACAGCTCTTCTAATGTACGCAGTCAGCAGCAGAAAACCCGTCACCAGCAGGTCACTAAAATGTTGTGTAAGTAGGCCAGCTGGCCAATAATTGAATTCTCATGTATGACGGTACCACGGCTGTGTTAAAGGGATAGTTACCCCATGACTTACTCACCCTCAAGCCATCCTAGGGGTGTATGAGTTTCTGCTTTCAAACTAATACAATCAGAGTTATTTTTAAAAATGTCCTGGCTCTTTCAAGCTTTATAATGTCAGTGAATGGGGGTCAAGATATTGAAGCCCAAAAAAGTGCATCCATTCATCATAAAAAGTGTTCCACATGACTCCAGGGGATTAATAAAGGCCTTCTGAAGAGAAACGATACTTTTGTGTAAGAAAATTATCTATATTTAAATCTTTATCAACCTTAATCTCTAGCTTCCGCTAACTGTTCCGCTAACTCGCGTTCACTAGAGAGTGGCGTTCCAGCGGATGATGTAGGATGTAGGAGAAGCGTAAGCTCCGCTCAGAAGTGACGAACGTGGAAGCGCAGAGGAGAGCAAAACAAAACACAGGTCACAAATTAGAAATACAAAATGAGGATTTGTAAAATAAAATGTCAGAGGATTTTGATATAAGCCAAGAGGAAACTGGTTTTCTTTTGCTGTAAACAAAACTTGGTTCTCACGAGACTAGCATATTCTCTCCGGAGCTTACGCTACGCCATCCACTGGAACGACACTCTCTCGTGAACGCGAGTACATGAAAAATGTAAAGAGTTTAGAGTTTGAAGTTGAAAATTTTAGGCTACTAATACAATTCTCAAAAAAATACAAAATTTTTCAAAACAGAGTGCACAAAAACATTTCTCTGAAGAATTGTCAAGTCACCTTTATTTATATAGCGCTTTATACAATACAGATTGTGTCAAAGCAGCTTTATGGTGTTAAATGGGAAAATAGTGTGTCGATAATACAAACAAAATTCAGTTCTGCTGTAAAGCAGCTCTAAAATGAGTACTGTAAGGTCCACCCAATTGGCCCAACGACGGTATCCAATGGTCTTTTCGGTGAGCAAAGTAATTTAATTTCTATTAAATTCTAATCTGACTCCATTTTATTATGACCTCCAATTTAGGTTGAAATGTCAATTGAGTATTGGTTGTTTGAATAATAATTTTCTAGGCATTTGTTTATCCTATTTAACTCCTATTTTGATTGTACTCTTCATTCGGTTTCTCATGTCGCTCAGAGATCTTGCACCGGCCAGTCTTGGTTATTAGACAGAGGTAATTGACTAATACTTTAGATGGCCGCTCCTATGCTTGCTCGTTCTAAATGTACTTTTGTTTAGTCCCCATAGATCTGTACATACTTGAATAAAGCAACATTATCTCTAGTCAGAGGTCACAACTACTACTAAGATATAAGCCAACCAACATTACTTTCTCTGATAGTAGCATTGGTTTGGTCATACCATGATTTCCCTTAGCTAGAGTAACATTACATTAAACAGAGGTTCGGCTCACACTTTTTAGGTTGGTCGAACAACATCCAGTTGACCTAAATGGAAATTCCCTTTTAGGGTTAGGGTTAGAATTGCCCTTACAGTCTAAGTACACTTGAACTAATACCAAGTGTTAGTACACTTGAACTAATACCAAGTGTTAGCCGGATCTCTAAAGATCCAGTTGGTGTGCCCTATGCTCCATCTCAACTGGATTTTAGTCCGTTACTAACCTGACGCAGAAATGTGGTAACAAGGATACAAAGTAATCTACTAGAGTCAATAATTTCAGAGTAAACGGAATCAATTCAAATGTAACAATTTATTATTAGTCAGATAGTCAATTCAGAGACAATCAACACAAGACATAAAATTCTCACCTGACCTTACCTGGCCTTAGAAAAATACATAGTATGGAGTGTATAGATACTGCAGGGCTCATCTGGCTACAGAAGTGCCCCGATCTTCTTGCAACATTTCCTTAAGTACTCAGACAAAGACAAACATCCCCCAAATGGAGACAAGAACCAACAATTGGAATTTGCATTGATCAAGTCCTAGACATGGAGAGTTTCAACCTTTTGGGAACAGATGGTAATTTGCCTGAAAGACACTGGGAAATGACACACCCTCTACAGTGAGCAAAATATCTCTAAACTCTTAGGATCTGTATTACCTTTTAGTGTACTTGTAAGATTGAGACCATTGTACCAGTCACACTGAGACATTTCAAATGATAACAAACATGACTATGAATATCACTTGCATTAATGTAGAACATTATATTTTGCCATTGGCCATTCTGAGTGAGCTGAGTGAAGGGAAGGAAGTGGGGGAAAACAACAAATGTATAGGTGAGAAGGAAGCTTTCCCGCATCTTCTCTCTGTGAGATGTGGAAACAGATGCCTGTATGTTAATACACTGTGTGTATTGTCCATATCTTAGAAGATCAAAGTGTCTGAGGTTCTTACAGGACAATAGTAAACAGTAAATATTTCAGTTAAAGTCAGTTCTTCATTGATTCAGTGGTCATCATCCAGCTCAGTTCAGTTCTCTTCCAATAATGTCTGTGCAATCAAGTCAACAATATTGCCAAATATTAAGTGTCCCCAACTAAGCAAGCAAAGGTGACAGTGGCAAGGAACCAAAACTCCATCGGTGACAGAAATGGAGAAAAAAACCTTGGGAGAATCCAGGCTCAGTTCTCCTCTGGCCAGACGAACCATCATGGTGTGGTTTATCATGGTCTTCGCTGAGGATTTGTGCCAATGGCCGTCTAGTTGATGAGGTCTTCACAGGGGATCTGTCTCTGGGGCTCATCTAGTTGTCATGGTCTCTACTGACATTCTGGGCTGTAGAGGTCGTCTCTAGGTGCTGATCCACCATTTACGGTCCGGATGGCTACGGTGACCTTGGAATAAGAATGAGACAGACTAATATTAGTGTAGATTCCATTCTTCTTACGATGTTTCCTTCTCTGTTTCTGCCTGATTGGCATCCCGTGGTAACTAGGAATTACACAAGCTTCAATCTGGATTCAGCCCTTGCAAAGAGCTGAGATGACCGAACACCTGAGAAGAGATGATGCCAACCCCTCAGAGGACCTCAGATGATGCCAACCCTCAGACAACATACAAAACTACCAAATTTTGCTATAAGTTTGATCGCAACATATAATCATTGCTGTTAATAGTGTTCACCGTCTGTTTGATTACATGACATTAACTAACTGCTTGATTTTTACCGTACATTTCTGCCAAATGGACATCAACTTGAGATAGTCACCACTGATAAGCTACTAAATATATTGTAGAAACTTTAATTTTCTGTAAAGCTGCTTTGCAACGAGTTGCATCGTGAAAAGCGCTATAAAAATAAACTTGAATTGAATTGAATTGAATAACAACTACATTGGGTGCTATTGATATTGGTATTGTTATTGAACCCCTTTAGAATGAGATGCAGACATTTTGGGACTTATTTCATGGGACACTTCAAACATTACAATTACACCACTTTTTCTTTACATATTTAAAAACTGTCAAAGTAAATAACTTACCACAGTTCGACCACATGATAGAAGAACGCAAAATGTCCATTAAATAGTTCCGCGGTGGTGCTTCTGCTTGAGCGTGCTCTTTGCATACGCCTAAAATGATATGATAGCCAAACTGGCTAACTAGCTTAACTCACATGTCCCGATCCCATCCCAACCTTGTACAGTATATTTTGTAAATATTAAATCAGTGTCCAACATAATGTACATCCAGTTGGTCTTTAACAGTAAATAAATCCCTTCAGAATGAGACAGTTAAAAGTTAATTTTGCGGCTCGTTTCAAATGGTTTCTTTTGTTTTAATTACCACCTGACAACACTTTGCCATTGCCGTAATTACCCTTACATATTTATAGACTGTTAAAGTAAATAACTTAACTGCCATTCGACAACATGGAAGAAGAACGCAAAAGTCCTTTGAAAATGCCCACGGTGGCACAAGTGCTCGTGCCCGTGTTCTGTGCGTGCACCTGCCTGCTATCCTCTATAACACATGCGCAACGGAGCCACATTTTTGACCTTTTCGCTGAGCACAAATAATTAAGTTCAGGTTACTTAACTGCAATGCTTTAAGCAACAGGTGCATAACGAAAAGTAATAAAAACTCAGTCATAATGAGTAATGTCAACAGAGCAGAAACAAATAAGATGAACGTATTTTACAAAGTTAACAGTGCATCATCTTTTACAATGTCAGATATGTCAAAAATGGTTATATTGTGGAGAATATTCTTTTCTGTCGGTCTCTTCCAGAGCACACAACTGGCGAGGCATTGTTTGAAGTTCTGGATGGGTATATACGGGATGCAGGCATGTCACGGGATAAATGTGTTGGGATATGCATGGATGGGGCCCATTCAATAACTAGGAGGAAGTTAACAGTGCATCATCTTTTACAATGTCAGATATGTCAAAAATGGTTATATTGTGGAGAATATTATTTTCTGTCGGTGGTCTCTTCCAGAGCACACAACTGGCGAGGCATTGTTTGAAGTTCTGGATGGGTATATACGGGATGCAGGCATGTCACGGGATAAATGTGTTGGGATATGCATGGATGGGGCCCATTCAATGACTAGGAGGGTTAGCAGTCTGGTTACTCGTGTCCAGAATTTAGCCAAGTGGACCCACTGTATGACTCATCGCGAATCTCTCGCATCAAAGCAAATGCCTGAGTCTCTTGAGACTGTTTTAATGCAGGCAGTGCAAATTGTCAATTTCATTAAAGCACGGTGATTAAATGCTCCCTTGTTTTCCTTGCTTTGTCAGGAAATGGGAGCTGAACATGAGCAGAATACATGAATACTTTGTCAGAGGATACTTGAATACTTCATCAGAGAATTCTTTGTCAGAGGTGAATATGTTTCTTGTTGATATTAAGGGCCCTATCATACACCCGGTGCAATGCGGCGCAAGGCGCGGCGCAAGTGTTTTTGCTAGTTTCAGCCCGACGCAGTTCTAATTTTCCCATCCTGTGCCGTGTTGTTTAAATAGCAAATGCATTTGCGCCCATTTGTGCGCCC